CGATTTTTTTTTTTTTTTTTGAAATCTGCATGTATAGAAGCCATGCTTCTGTAAATGCTGTCAGACACTCACAACATAGGGGGGGTGGGGTGGGGCTGAGATTTTTGGCCATTTTTTATTCAGCGTGGAGCCCATCATGTGAATATCTGGATTCATCTGGTAGATGAATAGTTCTGTACAACAAGAATAATTCTTTTTTTTTAAAATATGTAGCAAGTGTTTGAAGAAGGTACATTCTTTATTGTTTCTGGTAATGATTCTAATTTTTTGGCAGTGTCGTATTTTTTCTAGAGAATCTCCAAATTGTTTCAAAGCAACTAGAAAGTGAGACCCCGGCTCACGAAGTGGTGAGTGTGGTCAAAAGACACAGACCGTTAGTCGTCCTTATTACGTTAAATTGAAAAAGACAACAACAAAACAAACATAGAGATGTTAATTCTTACTTGCAAACGTTACTTTTTCCTTGAAACTATCTCCAACACTATTGTGATTTCGTAAGTGAACAAAGAAAAAAGGCAATGTTTCGAAAACAGTTCGACCTTGACCCTTTTATCTTTCTTGGGTCAACGGCCGAGATGGGTTTACGAACATAGCAAATAAGATGAAAAACCAAACATGGGGAGTGACATTAATTATGGCATATTAGTTTGAATACAAACAGAACACTAATATCATAACAAACCATAAAGTTGGTATCCATCTTAAATGAAGTATGTAACATTTCATTAGACTACGAATAAACATAAAATATCATTCCAAAGACGCACAATTTGAGGTAATACAGCATGGACTTGAAACTAAATATGAGAAAACACAGTCTGTCACTCAAATTTAAAAATAAAATTCACTGATAATTCAAGCTCTAGGCTTGGTTCTTCCCTCATTAGCTTGCTTGAAGAGCTTAGCTTGAGCTGCTGCAGCTTTGTTTGAGCTAAGTGCAGCTGCAAATCTATCCCTAACTTGCCTTGTTGTGTAAGGGAAACCCCTGTGCACCATGGAGTTGAGTAATGCAGCTGTGCCTTCCCTGTAGAGTGCTCCGAGCCCGTCAGGTCGGGTATTTGAAAGAGCTTGTAGCAGGTTCGTGCTCGATCCAAGCCCAGGTAGGCTTGCCACACCGAATGCTCCACCAACGGTTCCCCACCAGCCGAACAACCTCCAGATCAGTCCCGGATGAGTCCTCCAGTAACTACAGTTTACGAGACAAAACAAATAAGCTAATAGTGTGTTGTAACATGAATCGTAGTAGGTCAGTCTGAGACCCATCCAAAGTCTGTACTATGTTTATCTTTATTATTAATAAAACATGCCTGCTAATGTGGTTTTTCTCAAGAAAAAAAAGTTGAATAGTAGTACTTACTTGCAAGTAAAAGGAGGTGAGTTTGGATCAAATGCAAATGGAGGTGATGGTATTGATGGAGTTCCAGGGTCGATTGGAGTAACTGGAGTTCCGGGGTCGATAGGAGTGGTTGGAGGACTTAAAATGATGGGTGGACTCACAATGGTGGGTGTAGTTGGGGTAGAGCTTGGAGGAGGGTTATAGTAACCACCACCACCTCCAGTGGGAGGAGTAGGATGGTGCCCTCCACTTGGGGGGTTCCCACAGTTTCCAGATGGTGGCGTGCGGCCATAGCTTCCTCCTCCATGTGAAGGCGTTCCGTGAGAGGGTGTTGGCGTTCCATGGCCGCCACCAGAGCCATGCGATGGAGGCGTGTGAGAACCTGTGTTACAAAATGAAGATGTTAGTTTCTCCACTTAGCTAGGACGTTCAGGTGCACCTACTGATTAAAAAAAAATAAAATATTAACGGACTTGAAGGTGGAGTTCCCGTACTTGGGTCCGGGGAGTAATAGGTCTTTTGATCCTCAAAGGTAGCTGAAGACATGACAGGAATGACCAAATGTTGAGTAAGCAATGCAGCTATGGTAGCCGAAAGGAGCACCGAAGAATGTTTACTGTTTTTCCGCTCCATCTTCATTTCAAGAGAGAAGACTTGGAGAAGAAAGAGTGTTGAGTGATGAGAATTATCCAAAGGGGTGGAGCTGTGTATATAAAGAGTTATCAGAAGAAGTAAATATAAACAGGTGAAGAAGCGTGTGGTTAGTTGAAATTGTTGCAGCTGCATTTAAACTCTCATTTATATCTCACAATGTAAAATTTGAATCTGTACACGATTTTGAAGGCATGGGAGGAATTGGATTTGCCTAAAAAATTTAATCAATTTTCTACAAATTTTGAGAGGCGTGTCACATGCTAAATATGGAGCTTCTGTGTACTATACAAGCAGAGTCCTCACTTCAGGTTTAGGAAAAAAAAATCTGACTCGGGAGCTAAGCTTGGATCAGAAGTGGGCGGACCTAATAAATATTTAGATGCATAAACTCGGAAAAGAAACAATATTAACGAGCAAGAACTAGTGGAAAAATTAGAGATGGCAAACGAGATGAGCGGCTTGTTGGCTCGTGTTTTCACGAGCCAAGCCGCAAGTGAGCTCAACGAGCCGAGCAAGCGAGAAGCTCGTGGGCCCATGAAAAATTCAAGAAATTTTTTTTAAAAAAAGTGAAAAAGTAAAAAAAATAAAATTCAAAAAGTTCGTGGGCTCACGAGCTCGTGGGCCGAGCCGAGCTCGCCCACGAGCAAATGAGCCACGAGCCAGCTCGACTGTGAGCTCGTGGCTCATTTCTCACGAGCTTGAGCCGAGCTCGTGGGTTGGCTCAATCCATTGCCATGGCTAGGAAAAATTGTACCATTTGTACTCGAAGTATTGATGAGTAGTAATATCTACGAACTACCCAACCCAATACGTGTCTAGGGTTCACTTTCCATTACCTCCTACACAAAACCCTAGAAACCCTCCCCGTTTTCCGCTTGTGATGGGTACTTTGAGAGTGGAGAAGTTGTTCGTGATTTTTTAGTTTTTGTTTTTAGTAACTTATAGCCAGTTTGATAAATATCTCATTTTTGAATGGTTGAATGAATGAGAACTGTTAACGGGGAACTAGGCGCAACAAACTTGAAAAAATCTAGTATCAATTCGTCATAAAAAGGTAGGTGACTCGTTTGCACAAATTAAATAGATTGAGGACCTCCACTGCAAATGTCGAATTTTACATAGTTGTTTCAACTTTCAAAATCTAATTGAATTAGGGACAACCTTATTCTTAGCTAATCACATTTTCATATTAATCATCCAAGAAATTTATATAAATTATAATAAATATTGCTAGGTTGTATTACGATGGATTGTGTCATTTACTATATCTTTTGTTATCAACCTATGTAATCGTGATATCTTCGTAATCTTAAAAGAAATTTTATATTGAAGCCGTATAAAGCTGATAATCTCGATACGAAGGGAGCTGCCCTGAATCAAATTTATCACTTATCTTGTCGAGTTCCGCTTAGTTAACATTCACAACATACAAAATAGTAATCAGTTTAATAATGTTGGTATTGAAATCCAGGAAATTACAGAGTAAGCTGTAGAGAACTTTTAATTTCACTAATGGGAATGGCAGAGAAGTAGGTGAAGAGAGTGTCACAATAAATTCTATTAGTAAATGAGCCAACAGCAATTCTATTATGCATGTCCTTTGGATTCTTGGCTTCTTCATCCTCTACAAAACCTCCCTTTTGACTATTTTTTTTTTCTGTAATTTTTCAAAGAAAAAAAAGGTTCCTACTCTTATTGTCTGTCAGAGAGACAGCTAGCTGTACTACATTTTGTGGATCGATATATAGAACATTAAACTTAATTGTATTGAGCTGTCCATTCATTTAACATACGGAAACGTGTCGACATGTGGAACGCGTTCAAAACGTATTACTCCCTTCGTTCTATAACGATAGATTTGATTTGTTTTTTATTTTTTACTCGATAGATTTGATTTGTTTTTTATTTTTTACTCGTTCCAAATTATAGAGTATATTCATTGTTGAGAGTATAATTAATGTCTTAATTTTTTAATATGCTCATATTTAATATGTCTTGTTTTCAATAATGTGAATTATTATTATTCAATGTAGAGAAATATTAGAAAAAATGTAAATAAAATTTATAATTTCAACCAACCATGCTACATGGCCAAGGTTAATGACAGAAAAGCAAAAAAACACGTTGATGTGGCAATTTTTCATTGGAAAATGGGAAAAAAAATCATAAAAACACTCAATTTTAGGCTGCCACATCAGTATGTTTTTTTTTTTTTCCCTTTTTTTTCCCTTGTTTGTTCAGCATTATTGTTAAACAACATGGAACGATATAATAAATAAGATTTTAATTTTTGTTTTTATTTTTTAAGGTATTGAGTGGGCATTATATCTAGTTAGAGATGTCAATTCGGGTGGTCCGGGTCAACCCGTTAACATATGAGTCCGGTAACGATCCACGTGAAAAAAAAATCCGCCCACTACAGTTTCCGAACTGGTTCCGGGTTGGCCCACAAATTTTGAACTACAGCCCAGGCTCACCCGTTGACCCATCTGGGTCAAGCCCATGCGGGTCACGGGTCGCGATTTGTTCCGATTTGGCTCGTATTATTATATAAATAAAATTATAAAAATATAGAATTTTTCATATTT